TGAATGTTTATAGCTATGAATATTGTATACAGAGGCCGTTGAATGACGGACAAACACTTCAGTGAAGAAGCAGACGCTTTCAAAGATGATGAACTCGTATTTCCGACACAAGCTTGGCAAGATTATGTAACACGAAATATGAAAACACAGCGTTCGTTGACGATTCTTGAAGGTTTAAGACCTGAGAAAGAAAAGCYTGAGAGCACGAACAAGAATTACAAAGGTTTAATTAAAAAATGTTTTCTTGAAGATAGTGAATATGGCGACTATAAAGAAGTAGCTTCTTGTTAAGATAGAAGAATCGCGAGAGAAAAAAATTCCAGTTCGGAAGAGAAAGTATTTTTTTCTAGAGATAATTTTGAGGAAATTTATCTGGATTTAAAGAAAAAATCTAAGAAAGATCTTCGAGTATCGTTCAAAGAGCGTGTTCAGTTGATTTCACCAGACATCAGAATAGCTCCTACAACGCAAAGATTAAAGTCTGGGGAAGATGAAACGTTTCGTTCAAAATCAAGTTTGCCATTCTTAGAAAACAATAGTGATTGTTCCAAAGCAGTTTGYCTGTCCAAAAGGAAAGGAATCAGTGGAACTGCATCAGCAAAAGATRAAAGTTCAAATTTCAATGCTTATGTTGATGGTACGAGTAYGTCTAGAAGTAGYAGCATTAATCTGAAAGGTTTGCAAAGATTTCTGCCTGAAGGTAGTTTGGCCCAGTGCAATGATTTTGATTCGGCAGTTATCGAGATTGTACGAGAATATAACGATCCTTGCCGAGGCGTGCACGGAGAGTATCGATTTGTCATTCTGAATGATGTTATGTAGTCTGTACGAGAATTTATCGATCTTTTACCGACGCACTGATTCTTTGATTCGGATGTTATCAAAATTGTACGAGAATATAACGATCCTTGCCGAGGTGTGCACGGAGAGAGTATTATTATCGATTTGTACTTCTGAATGTGGTCTTTACGAAAATTTATTGATCTTTTACCGACGCACTTACGTACAGGAAGCTAGTGATTCTTTGAATCGGATGTTATCAAAATTGTACGAGAATATAACGATCTTTGCCGAG